TTACAGTGATGTCGTAATACGCTCCATCCGGCCGCAGCACCGTAGATACGAGCGACCGTGATATATGTACCTGAAAATAATAGATTCACGTTATAATTATTACGTTACTTCACGTACTGAAAGTAAAAAAAATAGTAAAATGTATTTATTGCTTCATTAGCACTGACTCTGCTCAACGGTGTCATGAGCCAATATTCGGACTTGGGAACATTTACTTGTAAACTTGTCGAGTTTCTTTTTTTTGATGGATGAAAATGGTATGGTAACTCCGCCTGCGCTAACGGGACACGCTGGCGGAGCACCAGTGAAGGGTGATAGATGAGAATGAAAACAGGCCAGTTAGCCCATCATGATGAATTCATCAGGAATTAACCATGATAGTTTTCAGGGGGAACCGCGAGGAGGTCGACCTGGTTGGGTATATTGCTAGCAATGAGATTCTCAGTCTCCATTACTAACAATCCCTTTCCCCCCAAACTTGTCGAGTTAGAACTTGTTAGAATACATTATTTAGAAAGTGTCCAATAAACAATTTGTATATATTGTGATTGCGAAGAGAGCGAATTGGGAAACTCTCAAGCTCCCTTAGTTGGTAAATATAAAAAAATAATTATATTTCATAATACCTCTATATTATGTAGGTATTATATGTGCACTATTTATAACGTACTATTGTACGATCACAGGATATACATACATATATAGATAAGAAAACTACCAAAATCTACCATTTCGATTACTAAGTAAATCTAAACGGTGCACTTACACAACAAAAACATCGTGTTTTATTAGAAAAATATATTATCATGCAATTGCCAAGTCATTATATTCGAATTTAAATTCAAAATATCTTTATTCACGTAGGTCTATTCCAGACTCTTATGATATGTCAAATCTACCGTCAGTTCGGAATGATTTCGACATGAGAAGAACTGACAGGAAACTCGGCTCGTATTCTTTATGCAAATAAATTTTATACATGTTTACAATAATATAGATTCATTTTTAAATTCAAATTTGGGAGTATAGAGTGACCACCAGCGTATGCTGTTGCAAAAGCAAATAGTCTAATCAGTGTAGTGTAATTATTAAATTTACAATAGTACCCTGCACTTTGATTGTTTTGTTAAGAGAGGGACTGGCTGTGAACCAGCGCTGTGCAGCTGTTCACATTGCGCTGGGACACTCACAGCATCAGCTGAGCCGGTTCCTTTTGCCGAGTATGGGAAACTTTTTGTATATGTTATTTATATTTTATATTGTAATTGTATGGCAATAAATGTTTCTATTCTATTCTATTCTAAAGAAATAAAAATGTCTAATATTGATACAGTATGCTATAGGCACTAACTAAAATAATTGACTTGGTTCAACGTGACATTTCACAACTTTTTGTGACGTGCAACAACTGCTGTACGAACTTGTCACTTTTTTACACTTTATATTTTTGACGGGACAGATATTGATAGCACCTTGGGGATCCATTAATTAATATTTTATCTGTCCATCTAGTTGTAGTATTGTAATAATACATATACTAATAACACGGTCGCAGTGTCATTACACTCATAACTGTATCGAAATCAATATAATCACCCGCCTGATCGTAAATCACCAATTTACCAGAGGGAGACTGTACAAAAGTCGATTGCTTAGGTACCTCTGTCTCATTCGTGTTTCTACCGTGAAGCAGTTGTGTTTGCATGGCTGTGTTTCGGTTTGAAGGGTGGGATATGGCGTGAATTCACAGGGTACAGAGGAATAACACCTGAGTCCTCAGGAATGGCAACGCATGGGGGGTATCATGGGCGAAACAGCATACTCTGTTATGTCCATGGTACTGCTCATGTCTATAGGCGACGGTTACCACTTTCCATCAGGTGGGTCGTCAGCTTGTTTGCCATTCTAAGTTGTATAAAAAAAATCACAATATTTACTACACTGATTAGTAGGGGGAAAGGGATTGTTAGCAATGGAGTTTGACAGTCCTATTGCTAGCAATATGCCTTATTAGGTCGACCTTCTATCGGTTTCCCCTGGAAACCATCGTGAATCATTCTTGTTGAATTCGTCACGGTGGGCTAACTGACTTGCTTCATCCTCACCTATCATCCTTCTCTGGTGCCCCGCCGGTGTATACCGATAGCACGGGTGGGGTTACCATTCCATTATCATCCATTAAAAAAAACACTGATTAGTAATTCTTGTATTCAGTGGAAAGTCATGTCTAACTGTCATAAATTTGTTCGCCTGACACAATGATATTGTTCCACCATTATATATTATGCATGACGCGACCTCTGCCGGTAGTGGCCGTCTCTATAATTGTATATACTGTCACCCTGATTGACTCGGGGTCCAATTTCAATCGGGTTCAGGGTCTCAATCAATTCACTAACGTCGTTCTAATTTATCATAGGCAATGTCGCTGTATTGGAATTAATCAAATTATGTTTATTACACGTAGTGTCAGAGTATCACTGCTAGGTTTTTTTTTTGATGGGTGAAAATGGTATGGTACCCCCGCCTGCGCTAACGGGATACGCTGGCGGAGCACCAGTGAAGGGTGATAGATGAGAATGAAAACAGGCCAGTTAGCCTATCATGATGAATTCATCAGGAATTAAACATGATAGTTTCCAGGGTGAACCGCGAGGAGGTCGACCTGGTTGGGTATATTGCTAGCAATGGGATTCTCAGTCTACATTACTAACAATCCCTTTCCCCCCTCACTGCTAGGTTGTATCACTGTAGCGCGACCATCAAATGTAATGATTAATTTATATTAGGACATATCAATTTTCCTTAAATAACTCCCATGTATAGACATTCTTTATTTACATTTTTATTATATTAGTAATATACAAAGTAAAATAAGTTATAGCTGTCTCCATAATATGGCATGTTTTATGTCCAATTCAATAATTCTCTCTGTAGGGATGGTCAGCGCTCGCATCAATGTCAGGTAGTGTATGTGTGCCAAGTGCGAGTCGACGCGCGGCCAAGGGCGCGGCAATTACTCGGATGTATAGACAGACGGTGGTGCAAGCCGCTCGCCATCCATGTGTACCATCGTGAACATGGCGCAAGCCATTAAATCCCACACGCATCGCTATTTTAAGAATCAGTTTCATCTGCACCACTTGAGTTAATTGGTTTTATTTTAGTGACACTCTTAGTTGATTTATTTTTTAGGAATTTTATTTATTTTCAGGAAAACAATTTCTTTCAATGGATACGATTTACAAGTACGCGTTTGTAGATAATTTTTAAAATTAATAATGCTTTCCGTCGCAGTGTTTGTGTAGAACAAAGAATGAGAATAGGCGGATAAATAAATAAATAATAATAAATAATAATAATAATTTATTTCAAAATAAATGTTACATTTTAAATATAGGTAAAACTCTGCTCCCTAAATAGGTAAATCCTGTACTTTAGGATAAGCAGTGCTCTTCCCTATACGGCATAATGACACAAAATTATATATATAAAAAAAAATAAACAATACAAGTTAAGGTACTAATACAGTAATAATTTAATTTGCTCAATATAATATTTTGTAAATGAAATCTTGACTGTGTAATTTGTGAATGTATGGAATGGATGTATATATATATATATATATATATATATATATATATATATATATATATATATATATATAGTTATATATATGGATATGATATAGTTACTAATAAAAAACAAGTATTATTACAATATAAGCATTTAGTAATAATTTTATGTCTTTTTTATATGATTTAAAAAAAGTGTATATATAATCCAACAGTTTTAACGAAAAAAAAACTGACTATAATTGAGAATTATGTGTTCTACATTACATTCATTTGTTTGTGTTATATTCGATTGTAAACTTGTGGGTTGTAAAATTGTGTGATGACCAAGCACATAAAATTATGAAAACATAAATTAAAAAAAAAATGCCAAATTCATCATCATGTAAAATATGTTTATATATGTAATTTTAGTATGTATGTATATCAATAATTAGTAGAACCGCATTCGAGTATTCTGACGCTTCCCTATGGTTGACTGGGAGAGAATGCTTTTAGCATTAAGTCCGCCATGTACACATATATGTACTAATGAATAAATAAATAAAATCAAGTCAGTTATTTTCGCTAGTGTCTATGGAGGCACTTATTTAACAACTTTGACCGTATTAATATTAGACAGCTTTATTTCTATTATAATTACTTCGCAATTGAATGACTTGGTGAAGGCACTGCTGTGCCCCCTGACAAAATAAGATAATGTTCAAGATTTATTTGAAAACAGCACTGGTCGGATTCTCAGCTGAAACTAATTTACGAATTTAAACATAAACGACTATTCAAACATTTTTAATATCTTAATATTAAATCATTAAATCATCACATCAGCCTTTAATTGTCTACTGCTGAACATAAACCTCCTTGGGGGGTTTTACCAGTAGTTGCCACGCTTGGCAGGCGGGTTGCCAATCATAGTTAAGCTTTGGAGATATTTTAAGAGGAACGTTGCTGCTCATCCCTCGTCCTCCCTTAGTCGCTTTAACGACGCTCACGGGAAAAGAAGGGGTGGACTATTCTATGCCGGAACCGACACGGTGAAAAGTTTATTTATTTATTTTTCTTTAGAAATCTGTCCGATTCTGCAGTGTACTAGTCCTTTCCGCAACTGCAGTGTCCCCCCTTTCCTTTCCCACATAAATCCTGATATTTACCAATGTACCCTTTCTTTTTTCCTCAATCCTTTCCTCCGAACCGTAGGTGGCGGAAACTACCAACAAATGCATTTCCAAAGAGAGTTGACGTCAGGCAGGTGGCCGGTCGTAAAACTAAAAACCAAATCTTTTTGTAATATGGATAAGACCATATTACGCCGACCCCAAATAATTGGGATAAGGGTAGGAATATGATGATTTCTAGGAAAACATACAGCTAAATGACAATCAATACATAGTCAAATTATATCTGTATTTAAACATTTACGTAATTACACAATTGATAGGTTTTTATATATGCAAAAAAGAATATATAATTATTGTATTAAGTTTGGTATTGAATGAGAATGATTTATAATGTATCGTGTTCCAGTCACCGGCGGGGCCGGGCGGCGCGGCGTGTCCCACGCGGATGCACAGGCGTCGCCGGTGCATGCGACACTGCTGACCGCACTCTACGCCCGCCCAGTCCACTAGGTGACATACGTTTATAAACATTTGTCATACACGAAACAATTGTAATTATGTAGTAGGGGTGGCATTTCGACAACAAATAAAGAACGTAAAATACAGTAGTAAGCCCACGACCACTTTTACCAGAGGGAGACTTTGTACAAAAGTCGTTTGCTTGGCTACCTCTGTCACATTCTTGTTTCTATCGTAAAGCATGGCTGTGTTTCAGTTTTTAGGGTGAGATATTGAATGTAATGGCAGTGAATTTAAAGTGTACAGAGGTTCCTGAGTCCTCAAGAATGGCAACGCATGGGGGGTATCATGTGCGAAACAGTATACTCTGTTGTGTCCATGGTACTGCCCATGTCTATGGGCAGGTACCGTCAGGCGACGGTTACCACTTTCCATCAGGTGGGCTGTCAGCTTCATTGCCATACTAAGTTGCATAAAAAAACGAGTTTAAATTAAAATAGAAATACAAAATAAACTCAAGTCTTTCTATATAGGTAATAAATATACAAATTAATACGTAGAAATTAGAAATTAGTACGTTTATTGTTAGGTTTCGATACATTTTTTATTACTACTTACTGGCGACATTTTTTTTTACTTATTTTATTTTGCACATGCTGCATATTTACGTATATTTATTTAGTGGGAATATAACTTATTTAATGTTATTTTTTTTTTATTATTTCTCTTGTAGTGTTTCGAGCAGCATTTCGAAACATCGAGCCTTAAGGAATGATCGCCAGGTGAAGACAAAAATATCGTGGAGTTCTTGAAAATTTGCTTTCGTCTGCGACTAACCGTATGAATTGTATCAAATAGTAGTCGGAACGCATTACAAATGTAATTTTAATGATGAATTTATTCAATAGTACATTACATTAATAGATTTTTTATATCGTCTAAGAATTTTTAAGTACTAGTTAACCCTTCATTGCATAATGATGGAAATTTCCATCATGACATTGAAAGTCCAAAAATTATATAAAGCAACAAGTTTACTTAAAGTTGATCGTGTCTGGATACCTTTTTAATGTCCATCGCAGAAAAAAAAAACATAGCTGTCAAATTTATTTCTTTAACCATTTTTCCTTGAATTTTGAACATAAATTATATCACCTTGATTTATTTCACCAATAAAAAAAAATATGCAAAGAAGGGTTAAAATAAGTGATAATTTTAAGAACAAGCTCATTTGTGGCTCGTTCAATTTATCAAATAGGTTTAAAAATATTCCTTACACGCCACGTAGAAGTAGCGTGTAAAGTAATATTTAGACATGTCGTGATTATGTTAACTTTAATGAATTTTGACACTTAGTAGAACATTGAATTTATTCTGAATATATAATAAAACCATATGAGTTTATATAATTGTATGTTTCTAGTATAATTTAGACATTCCATCTTGATTACTTTAACGCAATGCCAAAGATAAATAAAATTATTGTAATTTGTCAATAAAGTAGCCTCGTAGACGTTACCTACAAGGAGACGTGTCCGATATATACAACTTAATGATGACAAACTATTTTGTAGCATGTTTTGTTATTGTAATAAAAAAAAATAAACTGCTCTATCGTTGTTTTACTACATTTGTTGCAGCCTTGAATTAGATCACGAGTTAAAATAACTAGTAGGTTGTGATGAAATAAAAAACTAGCGATACTAGGTAGCGAGGTGGCCGGGTGAGGTCACCGCGGTTCCGTCCATAAGGCAATATGGGACCACCAGCGTGGAAAACTACAAACAGCACGATATTCAGTTTACGTGACAGGCGTGCGATACATGTACTAAATGTGCCATTAACTAGTAGACGTTGCAGGAAATAACAACTTCAATTGTACTTTATTAACAATTTACAAAATACTTAATTATTCGTAGAGAAGTTAGAAAATGAACTGAATTATTTATTAAGAAAATAAAAAAAAAATATATGCGTGTTTTTGTCCAGCCTCGCTCCTGATCTTGCAGTAGACACCAGACAATTGTAGGGTAGGCGTCCCGCTCCCTCTCAGCTCCCTCACTCCTTAAATACGCCTATGGTATTCCGAGAAACGTGCATTTGTCGAATTAATTTATTAGTGTAAGTTTCGTAAGGTGCTTATGTTTTTTTAATGGATGAAAATGGAATGGTAACCTCGCCCGCGCTAATAGTATACGAGTACACTGACGGGGCACCAGTGAGGGATGAGAATGAAAAGTCATTAGTGACAGGTGAGAATGAAAAAACAGGTCAGTTAGCCCATCGTGATGAGTACACCTGGAATTCAGCACGACGGTTTCCAGGGGGGACCACGTGGAGGTCGACCTGAGTGGGTAGATTGCTAGCAATGGGATTTGTAGTCCGCATTGCTAACAATTGCTTCCCCCCTGAAAGGTGCTTATGTTAGACCTTCAAATCTCCCTTTAAATACTTCGCGTCACCGTGCATGAGTGATAAAACAATATCGAAACTGTCTATAAAATTTAACGAGCAGTGGAACATGTTTGCAGGTCCAAAGAGCTGCGTACATATCGGAATAGCATAATTCTAAATTTTTTATACAACTTAGAATGGCGAACAAGCTGACGGCGCACCAGATGGAAAGTGATAACCGTCGCCTATAGACATGAGCAGTACCATGGACATAACAGGCTGTTTCGCCCATGATACCCCCCATGCGTTGCCATTCCTGAGGACTCAGGTGTTATTCCTCTGTACTCAGTAAATTCACTGCCATATCCCACCCTTCAAACCGAAACACAGCCATGCAAACACAACTGCTTCACGGTTGAAACACGAATAGGACAGAGGTACCCAAGCAAACGACTTTTCTTCAACGTTTCCCTCTGGTGTCTAAAATAATTCTACTACGAGGTACATTTGCACTTGTTAGATTATGCGGATTTACATTTGTTTGCAACTACTTTTACAGTATCCATAAAGTGTGAAAAATTACTCCTAACTACAAGTTGTTCTATTACAAAACAAAATTCCCATGTTGGTAAGTATGAAGTAGCAAGCGAAAAGCTGTAATACAGCATTAGTTTTACAGAACATTATGAGACGTACAAAGACTTGTAAGTGTTATAATTTATTATTAATGCGTCCACGGGTGACACGAGCACTTACTATAATTATACGTATAGAAATCATTAGAGTAGTGGCCGCCAAACTGTTTTTTTGTGCAACTTAGAATGGCAAACAAGCTGACGGTCCACCTGATGGAAAGTGGTAACCGTCGCCTTTACACTTGAGCAGTACCATGGACATAACAGAGTATACCGTTTCGCCCATGATACCTCCCATGCGTTGTCATTCCTAAGAACTCAGGTGTTATTCCTCTGTACCTTGTAAATTCACGCCATCATTCATCATCATCATCATCATCATTTCAGCCATTATCCGTCCACTGCTGGACATAAACCTCCCCCATAGACTACCATAAAGAACGATCCTGAGCCACCTGCATCCACTGATTATTATGACTATGTACCTGAGTCGTCTAACAGGTCGTCACTGGGGGGAAAGGGATTGTTAGTAATGGAGACTGAGAATCCCATTGCTAGCAATATACCCAACCAGGTCGACCTCCTAGCGGTTCCCCCTGGAAACTAGCATGGTTAATTCCTGATGAATTCATCATGATGGGCTAACTGGCCTGTTTTCATTCTCAACTATCACCCTTCACTGGTGCTCCGCCAGCGTATCCCATTAGCGCAGGCGGGGTTACCATACCATTTTCACCCATTAAATAAAAACAGGTCGTCACTTAGGTACATAATTTTTATAGCGTCAATTAATTAAGTTATATGTACAATCCAACATAAATCGACTGAGCAGATTCATTTTTTTTTTAGTGGACATAATAAAATCAATTTTAGCCCTAGGAAAGAAAAGACATGAGGATGAGAAGACAATTAATCTGCTAGTCGCCTGAGGGCGTTTATTTTCCTCGAACACTTTGAGAAACTACAATAAATGCAATGTAATTTGTTGTCCTAGTGTTGTGGTGTTGTCATGTGGCGACACTCCCATGGGAGTAAGCGAGTGGTATCGTAATGACTAGCTAGCTAATGGCTGAGGACTGTCCGAAGCATATGCTCTTATTAGAATAAATCCCTGCTAATATTATGAAGTCCGTACGCCGGACGCCTTTACCGTGGGTGTCGTAAGAGGGGAGTAAGGACCAAAGACTTATTTATGGTGGGGAGATGGGCAGCAGCGTTCCTCTTAAAACACCACTAAAAGCCAAACCGCAGTTGCCAACCCGCTTGCCAAGCGTGGCAAGTAGTTGCCAGTAGTGGTAAAACTGTCTAACAGTCTATGTGGGAGGCTTATGTGGAACAGATAAAAGGATCACAATGGTGATGATAGATATGAACAGCACCATGGACATTACAGAACGCCTTGTGATGCTCTTGGTACTCCACAATCCACATGCACTACTCTGTACAAAAGTCGATTGCTTGGGCATCTCTGTCCCATTCGTGTTTTAACCGTGAAGCAGTTGTGTTTGCATGGCTGTGTTTCGGTTTGAAGGGTGTGATATGGCGTGAATTTACTGGGTACAGAGGAATAAAACCTGAGTCCTCAGGAATGACAACGCATGGGGGGTATCATGGGCGAAACAGTATACATTGTTATGTCCATAGTACTGCTTATGTCTATAGGCGACGATTACCGCTTTCCATCAGGTGGGCCGTTAGCTTGTTTGCCATTCTAAGTTGTATAAAAAAATTAATTACATTTTATCTGTTGCTGTCATCTTCGTGTCTAATATTGTAAATCTTATATATGTGTAAGTATATTTGTATGTATATTAATCATAACTAGTACTACATTCAAGCATTCTTAGACTTAAGGTTAATTCTTTATTAAAGTTGACTGGAAGTGAATGCTTTTAGCATTAAGTCCATATACCTTCTTAACATCGTCATAACAATTATCTGTCCACTGGTGAACTACCATCACAGCCTCCATAGATTGCTTTGTCTTAAAAAAAAAATATTTCACCCTAGAAACCGAAACAGCTATTTAAACACAGCTGTTCGACGATAGAAATAAATTTACAATAATACTTGTACCTAAACAATAATGCATGCAAATGCAAACCTATACAATGTTGCCATAAACATCTATTTTATTACTTGAACGTTCCAACATTAATTCACCCGCTGAATGTAGACATTAGGTACTAATAATTATATAGTTGGATAACAATACATATGCTTATTTATTTATTTATATGCTCTTATATACATTCACTTTACATAATATTAAGACTTTACTTTAGATATTAAGTTATAGCAAAAATGTACACAGGCGGACTTATCCCTTAAAAGTTTTTTTTATGCAACTCAGAATGGCGAACAAGCTGACGGTCCACCTGATGGAAAGTGGTAACCGTCGCCTATAGACATGAGCAGTACCATGGACACAACAGAGTATACTGTTTCGCCCATGATACCCCCATGCGTTGCCATTCCTGAGGATTCAGATGTTATTCCTCCGTACCCAGTAAATTCACGCCATCTTCCAAACCGAAACACAGCCATGCAAACACCACTGCTTTACGATTGAAACACGAATGGGCAGAGGTGCCCAAGCAAACGACTTTTGTACAAAGTCTCCCTCTGGTATTTCTTCCAGTCAACCTTGACAACCCGAAAGCTTACTCTGTGACATTTGTTTTTTTTTCTGTACAGTCATTACTAATAGTATGAATGGGAAAGTGAGTTTGTTTGTTATCTAATATCGCCTAATAGGAGGAAAAAGGATTGTTAGTAATGGAGAGTAAAAATCCCATTGCTAGCAATATACCCAACCAGGTCGACCTCCACGCGGTTCTCCCTGGAAACTATCATGGTTAATTCCTGATGAATTCATCATGATGGGCTAACTGGCCTGTTTTCATTTTCATCTATCACCTCTCACTGGTGCTCCGCCAGCGTATCCCGTTAACGCAGGCGGGGTTACCATACCATTATCATACAACAACAAAAAATAGCGCCTAATAAGGCTGGATCAATCACTATGAAATTTAATATACATGTAGGAGCGTTGTGGTTGTTACCACTGTTGTGGATTACTTTTTTTTCAGAGTCATACAGCTCGAAAACTATTCTAGTTATCTATGTCAAACTTTAATGAAAGAAAAATAAGCTACTTAGCTGCTTTTTGGTCAAAAATACATTTCAACATATCTGATGGTTTTTTTTAAATATGTACATTTAAAAAAAGGGGTGATAACTCACTGTGTCCTTAGAAGGAATACACAGTGGATCAACTCTGAGGGTACAGTAGATCAAGATAGTATGTCAATATAAAAAGAGGTAATTGCCAATTTTTATAACATTAATCAATTTTATAAAAATTGTATTTCAGGTTACATGTAACATAAATTAAAATAACCCTCGGCATTTTAACATACAAAAAGTATTTGTTTACATAATGCAGCTTTCTTAGTTAGACAACTAAAGATTGTTTTCTCGGAGTTATCTTTTTTTACTTTAAAATTTTCTCTTTCTGTACGTATTATTATCGTATTTATCATATCACATCATTGCTTATTTTCTTACATAACAGTCGTTT